CGGGAATTTGCTCCTGCTGCAAGGGGGTTTGCCCCTGGGGCAGGCTCCCGCGGGGTTTGGCCCCAGGGTAGGCACATGCGGGGTTTCCCTGTGCCGCGGGGAGTCGGGCCCTGAGGAGGCACGTGGTGGCTTCCCCCCGGGGGAGGGGAGGGAGAATCCTGGGAGGAGGCAGATGCAGGGGACTCTCTGCTGCCACGGACACCCTACTACCCAGACCCCATTCCCCTGTCCCCACCTACAGAACTGTCCCCACTCCCGTCCCCACTCCCCGAACTCTGTCCCCACTCCCCTGTCCCCAGCTACAGAACTTTGTCCCCATTCCCATCCCCTCTTCCCGAACTCTGTCCCCACTGGCACCCTGTCCCCACCTGCAGAACCCTGTCCTCTGCCCTCCTAGCACCCTGCCCCCAGCCGCAGAACTCTGTCCCCACAAAATGTACAATTATAAATGCTTCATTTTAGATTTAAATAGCATGAATAAAAACCAAACTATTTATTTCATAACTATAAACACGTGATTTTAATTTTATATATTGCATAATTTAAAAATAAACTGTTTATCAGAGTGTGGTAAGTAAGGGCTGCGGATAGAAAGTGATGGACTGGAGGAAAATATAGAGGGCGGGGCTTCAAGGAAGGGGCAGGGCGGTAGATCTTCGCCTGTTCTGAGATTTAAAAAGTGATCTTGGGGGTAAAAAGGTTGGAGACCACTGTTTTATGTGGTTGGAATGGGGACACACATTTAAAAATTTATTGTTCGCTCAAACCATTCAGAGATAAAGAAATGAAACTGTGTTACTTGAGAGGGAAAAGAGCTGAACACAGGCAATGTCTTACAGAGACTAAAGGTTCTTGTGGGCCCTTGCCAATACTGAAATTGGATAGATCCCACAGCTGGTGTCAGTGGAAGTTTTTTTTAGAGAGTATGACTGCAGGATTGTGCTCAAAGAATGAGTTGGCTTACAGGACCATCTAACATCACCCTAGAAGGCTGTAATTGACTCTACTATCAAAATGATAAAATTAACTTAGAATTATCTTGGAGTTACAATAAATTATAATTTGTAGTAGCAAATTTGTTATCTAATTTCATATTCTGTCACTATTTGCTCTTTTTACTTTAAAAGATTTAAGTATAAAATGGTCATTGTGGATAATTTTTGGTAGAAAGAGACATTTGCTAGACTTAGTGCATGTGAGAAGATTTTTGCAGATTTGAACAATAGTCAAACTGCAGTATATCTCTGATGTAAAAAAGTAAGCTTCTGTTATGAAGATAAATAGCTTACCATTTCTGCTTCAATGGATATTGTCAAAATCAAATTTATTTCTTTTTTGGGTGAGCAAAATACATATCCAGCATGGTTTTGTATAATTTACCTTTTGTCCCCTTTCATTATGTACTTAGAGAAAGAGTGGAGCTGCAGTCTCTTCATTCATGAATACCATACCAACAACAGAAACACCTCCAACTTTAATACGTACCAATAAATTCACTTCAGGGTTCCAAAACATTGTTGATGCTTATGGAGTTGGGAACTATAGAGAAGTTAATCCAGGTTTGTCCACAGACAGTTGATGAAACTTGCACTTCATGAATTATTTATTCATTTCTCTTGACCTTAGTAAAAGGGCACGTGCTTAATTAAGTTTAATTAATTAAGGGGAATATGGTGATTTCTATATTCTGTTGTTAATGTCTATTTTTAATTTTCAGTAGTTTATAAAGAATGCAAATAGTGCTATGAGGAACAAGGAAGGGCAGGATTTCTAATGTATTTTCTCAGCACTAATTAATTAAGGGGAATATGGTGATTTCTATATTCTGTTGTTAATGTCTATTTTTAATTTTCAGTAGTTTATAAAGAATGCAAATAGTGCTATGAGGAACAAGGCAGGGCCTGATTTCTAATGTATTTTCTCAGCACAACCAATGGTAGC